TATTTGTTCCTCAGCTTATCTTCAGTTTACTTTCTATTAGTAAGATTATTCGTTTGTGTTAACTATTCATTTGCCTTTTATCCTTCTTATTATGTGTTTTCGGATCTACAGACAAAGAAATAGATTGGTATGTAGCATGAAGCTGGTAGTTTCTCTTACTTTGACCTTGATTTATCTCCCCGAGTACTTTACATCTCGTCATCTCCATTTCAATGACATTATTGTCTTCGTGATCCCTCTCAGCAAAACCTGAAGCGTCAAGTTCCTAATCTTAGTCAATGTGCCGTCTATATCTTGTGAAATTTGTTAAGTATCACCGTGTATCATTTCAGTCTAGAATCAATAATTGAGTATTTAGTCTATTTAAGTTAGTCCATTGTGATATATGAGGTTCAATTAAAAATATTCACCTAATAATGAGACATGTTGTAAAGAAATCAAAACCCAATATGATTGTCATTCGTATTTTACATTTTGATAATGCTCGTGAATACGAATATGACTCCTTCTCTACTTACCTTCGTAAATCATAAGACCGATATTATTCATCAAACGTCATGTGTCCACACACCACAACAAAATGGTGTGACTGCGTGTAAAATCATCATCTATTGGAAGTGACTCACGCACTTTTATTTCAGATGCATGTTCCTCGCAAAGTCTATAATTTGTTCTTTTTCCTAATTCTCTATTTTACTTACCTCTAAAGGTTTTTAGATGTGTTTGTTATAATCACAACGTGGGTCCCATCATATTACAAAATGTGTTTTCTTGGTTATTCTTGCACACAAAAAGGGTATTGATGTTATAGTCGGATACTTCGCAGATACTTCACTAGTGCTGATGTCATTTTCACTTAATCAGACTCCTATTTCCCAGCTCTTGCTCATCCACTCTTGACTTTGAGCAGTCACCTCCACCCCCCTTCCATTACCATCTGTCCTTCAACTACCTATTGTCTTACCACCCCGGTCCTCTCCAATTTCGTTCCGTGTATACTCTCATCGTCCCCGATCATCGACTGAGATGCCCCTACTGTCTTCCTCACCACCTTCTGATCTTTTTCTTCCAATTCTTTCTGCCTCTTTACCTATTGCTCTACATAAACATACTCGGTCTTCTGTTACTAAGCATCCTATTACTAATTTTATATTTTATGATATTTTGTCTCCTGTTTTCTTTTGTTGTATATCTCAGCTGCCTACTGTCTCTATTCCTAAGAGGCTAAGACATTAGTGTGCGTTATCTGATCCAGGTTAGCGAAAAGCTATGGAAGTGGAGATAAAGATCTTACATCATAATGGGAATTAGGATCTTGTTCCCTTGCCCCTGGTAAAAATATTGATGGTTGTCGGTGGGTGTATACAATCAAATTTAATCCTGATGGTTCTGTTGAATGCCTCAAAGCCCACCTTGTTGCCAAGAGATTTACTCAAACCTATGGCATTTATTATTTGGAAATATTTTCTCCCGTTACCAAAATTTCTTCTGTTCGTATAATGATTTCTTTGACTGCTAATCTTCATTGACCTTTATTTCAGTTAGATGTGAAAAATGCCTTATTGCACAATGACTTGGTTGAGGAAGTCTATATAGAGCAGGCCCCTAAATTTGTTACCTAGGGGGAGTGTCATAAGAGTGTTTGCTGACCAAAGCAATCTCAGTATGATTTCAAGCATTAACCAAGGGCATGGTTTGATAAGTTTTCAGAGGCAGTTTAAGAATTTGGTCTTCTTAGATGTCAAACAGACCGCTCTATTTTTCACAGACATACTAATTTTGGATATATTATACTGATTATTTATGTAGATAATATTGTAATTACGGGTGATAATTATGAGAGTATTGCAAAGTTGAAAATCTTCCTGTAGGACCGATTTCATACTAAAAACCTAGGCAAACTCAAGTATTTCTTGGATATTGAAGTTGTCAAGTCTAAACAAGGCAATTGTTTGTCTCAGCAAAAATATGAACTTGACATGTTAGCAGAAGCAGGTTTACCAGGTAGTTGACCAATTGATGTTCTTATCTATTCAAACTAGACGTTGTTGATAGATGATGATGCATTATTTGAAAATCCTGGTCGATATCACTGGTTGGTTGTGAATCTAAATTATCTGACCAGATATTGCATATACAGTTAGTGTTGTGAGTCAGTCTATGGGATGCCAGAGACTACCACATTGGTATATAGTCATCCAAGTTATTCGAACTAATGGGCATATTAGAGTGAAAAGTTTTACAGATACCGATTGGGCTGACTCTCCCTCAGATCGAAGATCAACTATTGGATATTATACTTTCTTAGGAGACAACGTGGTTACATGAAAAAATAAGAAACAAACAGCGGTAGCATGGTCTAGTGCTGAGGCTGAGTATTGGGCAATGATATATACCATTGGTGAGTTAACATGGTTACGACACTTCTTTCAAGAGATTGGTTTTCAAGTCTAGTTTCTTTTACAATTGTTCTATGACAACCAAACAGTTCTTCATATTACTGCTAATCTCATATTTCATGAGAGAACCAAATATATCGAAATTGATTGTCACTTTATTTAAGACAAGATACTTGATAGAGATAATGCTACACCTATTGTGAGATCTGAAGATCAGCGTACAAATATGTTCACCAAAGTATTGAATCGTACTTGTCTTACAACGATTTACTCCAAACTTGGATTATATAATATATATACTCCAACTTGAGGGGGTGTTGAGAGTATTATTAAAATATCATTATATTTTATATGGTTGTAAAGTATACCTCCCTAAGGGTATACTAGTCTTTTATGTTTCCACATGTAAAAATAAATATAAGTTGAGAGTGAGAGGTAGGGTATGTGATTAATCTTTGCCTCTTTTATATTGGTTTTCTCTCATAATTGTTCTCTCCGTCCAAATCTAACATTTCCTTATCGGAAAAAAAAATAGGTATATTATGCCAATACTCATGAGTTGTATAAAAACATGACCACACCTTTATATTAACAAAATAACATATAGACCCCAATTAGAGATTTTTAATTGGGGAACAACTTATTTATCCTTCGAGATATTGATAAAAACAGGTCAATCTTAGTCAAAATCAGTCAAAACAAGACCTCCAACCCCTCTGACCATGAACTCCCGACAAGATTCCACCCCCTCCTTGACATGACTCCACTTCTCTAATAAATCCCCCCTTTCCTCTTGCACTCTCAATTCTCCTCCAACACCTACCTTGCCTACCCCCAGGCGTCCCCCTTTCTCCTTCACCCAACAATTCTCTCCCTTCGCACTCCGTTTTGCGCCTATAGTCCCTATTCTTCCCCCATTGACCTTTCCATCTCCCAGTCTCTGCCTTTGCCCCTTTGAAGGAGGAAGATAAAATGACTAGTACAACTTAAGCCATAAACCTCACATCCAAAGCAACGGGGGTTGGTTGCACAAATCATTTTGCAAACTAGCGCCACATCTATGCATTCTTGTACATCATAAATCACCATGTCTTTTCTCAATGCCAACAAGGCCTTGACATGAGCTCCGCCAGTCCTACTGTGCCTTACATTACTCAAAACACTGCTCTTACTTATCCATAAAATTGTCTCAAGAACCAAACTTGTTAACTTCGGCCACAAATATTACTTCTTTTATTAAAGCACAAGTTGTCACATCTTTGTGTACCATCTCAAATCCACATTAGTCCTGGTCTTTCCCTTCATGAAACACTACCTATAATGACTCATCCTTGATGTAAGTTGACAACTTCTTTGCCTTACATATCTCATGGTGTGGTAAGCATGTCAATGACATAGGAGCCATTCTTCTATTAGATTTCCGTAGCTTTTGGTTACTAATTTTTGTGTTGTCAGATAGTGAAAACTATATGGTTATCGTTAAGCATCAATAGAGAGCCATTAAGATCCTGAATATACCTTATTAGATATCAGTCCTTTGCTTTTATATAAATAGATGGTATATTATGCCGATACCCATGAGTTGTGTAAAAACAACGGTACCACCCCCTTAAATTTAGATATCATAGGGATCCCAATTAGAGATTTATAATTGGGAAAAACTTATTTTTCCTTCAAAATAGCGATTAAAAATGGTCAAATATCTAAGTCAAAAATTGGTCAAAATAAGTCCCTAAACCCCCACCGGCCATTGACCCTCAACAGGGTCCCTCCCTTGATCCTGCAACACCCCCTCCCCCCAACCCAACCCTTGGGCATCCTTGCTCTGCCCTTCACCCAACAATTCCCTCCCCCACACTTTGTCTTACGCCAATAGCCCCTATCCTCCCTCCTTTGACCTTTCCCTCTCTCAACCTCTACCCCTCACCCCTCAGGGAAGTGGTGAGTTTAGTGTGTGTGAGAGATAGAGTGAAGGAGATGAAGGACTAACACTTGCACAGCTTAGGTCCAAAACCTGATATGCAAATACCAAAGAAATTGGGGCTGGCTGCACAATTCCTTTTGCAAACCAGCTCCACGTCAAGGCATTCTTCTTGTGCATCATAGATCACCATGCCGTTTCTCAATGCCCATAAGGCCATGGCACAAGCTCCTTATGACTGCTAGCTAGTCCTATTGTGCCTTACATGACTTAAACAATTCTCTTACTCATTCATGTAATTGTCTCGTGAACAAAACTTATTTAACTTTGGCTACAAATATTCCTTCTTTTCTTAGAGCACAAGCTGTCACATCTTTGCCCACCATCTCAAACCCCAATTTATCTTGGTCTTTCCTTACCTATAAGAAGTCATACTTGATGTAAGTTGACAAATTTTTAGCTGTTATGTGGTGTGGCAAGCATGTCAAATATCCAAACTTTCACATGTTCTCTTACATGCTATAGATATTTGCATTCAGAAACTTAGGTTGCGTTTGGTAACCGGTAGTTTCCGTTTTTTTTTGTTTTTGCTTTCACTTTTTGAAAAAAAAAAAACTTGTTTGGTGATTATTTTCATTTTTTTTTAATTGTTCCATTTTGAAAACAAGGTTAAAATATATAAACATCCAAAAAAAAAATGGACGCGCGCCTCAGTGGGTTGTATAATGAGGTCATGACTTCGAATCTTGTTAACAACAAAACTTAGGACTTTTGGTTGGAACTATAAAAGCCTCTTTCCTTTCTTTTTTTTTTTTCCCTATTTCCCTCATTTGTCTCTCTCGCTGTTGTCTCTCTCTTGAAACCGAAGCCTGGTTTCTTTCTTCTAAACTGAAGTCATGGCCATGGTTTGTCTCTGCTGAAACCCGAAGCCAAAGAAGAATCAAAGACGAATCCATGGTTTCTCTCTGTTGAAACCCGAAGTCGAAGACGAATTGAACCTGGGATGGGGTTTGCTGGGGATGGGGTTGCTGGGTTTCGGGGATGAGGGTTGTTGGGCATGGGGGTTGCTAGGTTTCGGGCATGGGGTTTGCTGGGGATGGGGTTGCTGGGTTTCGGGGATAGGGTTTGCTGGGCATGGGGGTTGCTGGGTTCCGGGGGTGGGGTTTGCTGGGCATGGGGGTTGCTGGTTTCGGTGGTAGCGGTGGGGATGGATTTCGGTGAATTTCAGGGGGTTGGTGGGTGGGTTTCGGTGGTGGTGGTGTTGGGAGGTAAATTTATGGTATAATATTAAACATATTTTTTATTTTTATTTTTATAATTTTTTAAATATAAATGATAATCGAACATATTTTATATTTTTTAATATAACAAAAAAAACAAAACTTTGTTATGTTATTTTTTAAAAAAAAAAACATAAAAATGACAATGTTACTAACCGCACCCTTAATATACACAATTGTTTATTCATTTGCTGACATTTTTACAATCTCAATTTCAATATGGGTATGAGGGTTCCAAGATTCAACATTCAGCTAACTCTACTTAAATTTCAATGACATTATGAGTGTTCCTAGGCTAATTACAAGCCACTAAACATGCCACATTTGCTAGTATGCGAGCATATTCCTATCCACCTATGTCTATTTGCATGTGCATTACATTACTTACATACAAGTACATTTTTATGCAAGCACATATGTATAACTTGATCACAGAAAGAACCCATTACCTGAGCAGAACAACCCGAACAATCAGTCTTCAGGACCGCCAAGGCCCCATGAACATCCGGGTCAATCCCCATTACCCATCCGGACTTTTCATTGCTTGGCTGACCGTTACTGTCACGGTCAGACCGCAATAGCTTCTCGGGAAATGGGCAAGTAAGAGAGTCCAACCAGTTTTCTTTCAACTGGGTATCCAAAACCTTCGCCTTCACTCTTGTATTGCCACTCAAAGAAGTTTTTATGCAGTTTTCTTCACGAATTGGGGTCTGGGTAGTTGTTAAATTTGGGGAAGATGTAGAGAAAAGCCTGAATTTGGTGGAAATTATGCGAAGTGTTGGTGTTAGTTTACAGGAAATTGGGTTCATGAAATTCGGGTCGGAAGAGAGTGGCTGGTGCTGTAGTGAGAGAAATTCCATGAAAATAAAAGAGAGAGAGAGAGATGGGGTTTCAGTCTGATGGCATCAGTTCACGTAGGTTCTTAACTAAGCCAAAAGAAAACTTGAGAAGACTACGATTAGGTAACTGTAGCCCGACCATCGACGGTTGGGAGTTCGTGCTGTGTCAAAAAAACACTTCTGTCTGGTTCGTGTCAAAAAAGCAAAAACACAATTTTGTTATTCTCGACTGGATTATTAAATTATTAGGAGTATTAAACTCAAACTCTCTAAAATTTATCATTTAATCACTCAGATCCCCTAATATTTAAAATATTATACACAGATCTCCTAAAATTTATACGCGTATAACACTTAGACTTTTATCATTAATGTTCTTAGTATATCAGTTAATAAATTACACTCAGACCCCTTAAAATTTATAGATGTATAATACTTGACCTATCAAGTTTAAAATGTTATACTTAGACCAAAAATACTCAAATAAAAAATAGAATATTAAGTATTTTAAATTTAATAACCAAAATTTATATTTTATTGTATCATTTATTTAAATAAAATAAAAAAATAAATTTTCTTAAAAAACGTAATTAATATACAATTATACTATCTATTAAAATAAAACTAAAAAATCAAACATGAGATTTAAGGGAAATATAATTGAAAATAAATATCTAATTTTTTCTTAAAAGTCATAATTAGTATGTAATTATAAATATCTATTTAAACAAAACTAAAAAAATCAAACAAGAAGTCAAATTATAATAGACACAATATCTTTTAGCTTTAATTGAGATAATTTGGTTATTTATATGACTAAATTAAATTTCAATAGATAGTATAAATGTATACTTATTATGATATTTTAAGAAAAAATTTAATTTTTATTTTTGATTTTATTTCAATAAATGACATAATATAACATAAATTTTGGTTATAAAATTTAAAATATTTGATATTCTATTTTTAATTAGAGTATTTTTATTTTAAGTATATCATTTTAAACTTAAGGGATTAAATATTATATACTTATAAATTTTAGGGAGATTGTGTGTGATTTACTAACGGACATCGATGACAAAAGTTTAAGTGTTACACACAGACAAACCTTAGGAAATTTATGTGTAATATTTTAAATATCAAGAGGTCTAACTGATTAAGTGACAAATTTCAAGAAATTTTGATATAATTTTTCATTTTTTTAATCATATCACGTGGAATTAATTCGTTTATTAAATAAGTTATTTTACTGTCAATGTTTTTACTTAAAAATGTAGAGTTGGTGACTCTTTACCTTACTAGCCGTGCACGTTACAAAAATGAGAAAATAAATTTTGAAAATTATACTTCCTCCGTTCTTAAATATTTGTCGTTTTACAAAAAAAATTTTATTCTATAATATCTGTCGTTTAATGAAACCAAAGTATTATTAATATTTTTTCTTCCAAGTTTACTCTTAACTTTTCAATGCATTAGATTAGGTGGAGGTTAAGTGTCTTTCATATTCTTTTTCTTCCCAATACGTATTGAATAAGGGTATTTTAGTCTTGTGCAATTTTTTTTTACTTATATTAAAGTTATTTAATAATTTTCTTAATCTCTGTGTAAAAATTTTAAACGACAGATATTTAATACCAAATGGGATAAAATATAAGCAATAACTACTGGGCACAATGCACGGAATTTACAGCCTAACCTCCCATCTGCCCCTTAGTCGACCGCCAGCCTGCCCCCCACGCCTTCCCCAAACCCACTTGTGTGCTGTATTGATTCTGACAAAATATAAATGTGAAATAATTAATAATAATGGTAACAAATAAGATGGAGGCAATTTTAAATTTTTTCAATTGAAATCAACTCTCCTAATTTAAAAAAATTGTAGAATGGTTAAGATTTGATCTAGATTCATCTATTTAAATTCAATGTCTCACAATCCATTTCACCCAAATAAGCCACCCAATTTATTTTTATAATTGGATACGCCAGCCAATTCAAACCCCCTCTCTCTCCTTTCACACACACAACACAAAAAAAAAAAAAAAATCGAACACACACACACATTAGAATATTTGATTGTATAAAGACACTTTGCAACGTAAAACAAACCGTCAATTTGAAACAGTTTTTACTTTATTTTCTTTAATATAAGAAATTGAAATCAAGCTAATCTATAATATTTTTCAAAAATTTCGAATTGTTTCCTTTAAAAATAAAAGTCCAAAAAAATCTAAACATATCTACAATACATACAATCATAATTATTTGTATTTATATTGCTCATAATCATATCTATGTCTTAAGTATATATATATATAGCTAGTAGTTACCCATGCCTAAAGGCACTACATGAAAAACAAAAAACTTTAAATAATTGCCACTAGGATAATTCAATCTTTAACCATCCCCCAAAGCATTGATGCTAAAATTTCTAACTTAGTGCATAATTAAATCCAAAAACATGTAATAAACCAAACTCAATAAAAATAAACTTTTTGAAGCCGCAAGATTCATCATCATACATTCCCAACATCAACACAATCCGCTTTCAAAACTCGGAACAAACACCTTAGTCTTTCCTAAAAAAAGTAAGACGAACAAACTAACCACTAAGAAAAAAACATTTTAGATATGAATTAAACGTGACATAGTTTCAATATAGACTAAAAACACAGCGTGAAAATTACAATAAAAATAAATAATGGTTTTACATAATCATAATCGAATAGAAACATCTATTCAACGGTAGTTGTGTTGCTTTCAAGATATGAGCTTCCATTGGCTTTTGGAGAGAAAATCTAGCCTACATCCGTACAGGTCCAATTGACGAAGTCTCTGCTACATAATATTCACAAAGATGTAAAATTCAGTACCCAATGTTTTATAGCAAAGAGATCATTAATCAATAGTTTTAGCATCATATTATGATAGATTGAAGTAATGCAATTTTGTACAACTTTAAGAAACGAAACACATTATCATGTACTCATCAACCTCTAATAGCCAAAAAAAAAAACTACGATAAAAAATATTGTTAAGTTCTTTATACGCATGGTTGACATTACTATGACAATTAACTTCATCACTTCATAATGATAATGTTAAACAATATTTTTTCCAGTCACAATGGCTAGAGAGGACCAGATTAAAACCACAAAAATTAGAAAACAGGATGAACATTTAGGTTCATTGCACATCTAATAGAGTTGAACTTCAAATGAAAACCATAAAAAAAAAAAATTAATAGGGTGAATGTAGTGCTATTCCCACCCTCCTCTTTTGGTGCTTTTCAGTGCTAAAATTATGTGATTCATTTGGAATTTTTTATTCTTCACTTTTTTTATTATTTCAAACATGTGTCAGTGTGAATTTCGATTGGTTCCTTGAAAATATTTAATTAAAAATCTTTTAAAATTAGATAATTGGATTAAAATTTAATTATTGCATTGATGGTTGTTTTGAGATTCTTCTTTGCTGCTTATTGTTCGTTCAATTATTTATTGCATAACTCTAGGCATTTGAAGTTTGTCCATTTGTAATTCAATGTGAACATCCATTATGTGAACTAAAACAATGAAAATGTTATTTGGTTCCGTGGTAACTTGACAATGCATAACGACTCTGACAATTTGAGCTTTGTTTTCTTTTAACCAATGTTGTTTGTGATAATTTTTGTGTTTGGTTCAAATCTTAGCGGGATTTAAGAGTTCCTTAGTTTCAATAATTTGTTTGAGAAGTTCAATATGGTATTGAGTACATTGTTTTTTAAGTACAGTGGTTGTGATCTTGAAATATTGACGAATTGAATTGGGTAAATTTCTTTTTTTTTTTGGAGATTGTAATGGATTATATGGAGGGATTAGGAAGATTACTTTGTGGATCCCTCATTCCCATGACTAGTAGGTATAAAATGTGTTATCTGTACGTAGATATATTTATGTATTATTTATTGTTTATTGTATTATATCTCATGTATAAACCCATGACGTTTTTTACTAACATCTTTCCCACCGTCATCTTGCATTTGTTTTTTAGTTTTTATGCTGCAACGCTTAGTATGAGCTGATATGGATATATTAGAGGAATGGGGTCGGGAAGACTTGAGGAAAAGGTTCAAAAGAGTAAAGGCGATTTCATGGTCAATCTTTTTTTTTATGCTATGCTCGGCTTGACGCTAGGTTTATGCAACCAAGTTTTGTTCTCTCTATCTCTATGTGTATTTTTTTGTTCTACTGTCAAATTTTCTATATGGATGTGCATGTGTTGCCACGCCCCGAATTTTCACAAACCCGAGGAGTGAGTGTAAAGGAAGAAGAAAAATAAATGAAAGGTCATTAGGTTGGATAAATTGGTTTCTCATTCATTTTTCACGTTTTTCCAAAGTTTTTCAAACCATTTTTTTTCCATGTTTAGCCTATTTCTTCAAGGTTTCTAACCCCCCCTTTTGACATCCTTCCCACCTATTTAAAAGGTGTTTTACACACTTAACTAGTCTTTTAATTTTTTATAAAATTTCAACATAATCTTCTTTGTTTCTAAACCTTTTTCTCACTTAATATTCACAAAATATTTCATATGCATTATTGTATCACAACCCCCCTCACTCAATGACCACAATCTATGTAAATTAAGCATACATCATTTGTTTTCAACATACACATATAATACTCATTATATAAAAGATATCCTACATGTCAATTAGGTTTACACCCTTACACTTTAAAATGACTCAAGGTCTAAATCCATTAATTTTCTTAATTGAAATACAAGTCATTTGACTTATGCCCATACATACAAAATATGTTCAAAGGCCAAACCTCCATTCAAATCTCTTTCCCCTCCTTCCTTTAAGACTTGCTCAAGTCTCAAGTATCGAGAGCCTCATCTATAATATGATATCCCACGAATGAGTCAGCTCAACTGCTGGTATGACGAAATGTTAATGCTAGGAACAAATTTAAGGCATGACATTTGCAAGTGTATATTTTTGAAAGCTATAACCCTGTGATCCCTCAATGCTATGC